TTCTGATGTTTCTATACAGGCATTAATCCAACTCATGTGACACCCCTTCTCGAGTCAGATTTATTCTCCTCCAAATACTCCGCGTATCCATATGCATTTACGGAAACACACATGGTATTATTTTAGCATATCATGACCAAATGATATTACGATTGTATCGATAAAGCGATGCATCATGTGCTGAGAGTGAGCTGCGCATCGACTGAGGCTTCACCTGGTGTCCCTCTTTTCTTGATTGCACATTCGATTCGGTTAGCAGAACAACTTTGTTTAATAATCACAAAGAACGACAGATTAAACACGGTTGAAAAAGTATTGACACTTCGTTCGGATAGACTGGGTGAACTGTGCCCAGTTGCGTCAGTTCACCGAGCCCGGCATTTAGTTTGGAAGCTTTTCAACTTCAGCTGAGTTAACATCATCAACGCTTGTGAGGTGGCGGTGTTCTATTTGCATCATGTGTTCTACTTCAGTGACTACTTCTGTCCCCTGTCCACTTTGGGTTCAATGTGGTTTACCGTCAAACTTGCACGAATGGAGATGGTGGGCTGCCCTTTCGTTTTGAATGCACTGTTGGTCCGTTCTCAGGTCAGGTCACCACGTGGCCTTGGGTTGGATTGGCGTGTACACGTGATCCAGGTCGATGTCTTTGTCCACTGAGTTGATTAAAGAGTACCAACACCCCCCCCCCCGCACCCCAATCGATTTTGTGGCGAGCTTTTCGGGATTAGTTGATCATTCTCGAGGATTCGGTTCACTTAGCCCTCGTACGTATTACGGGATACCTGACGAAGCTGGTAGTGTGTTTCGGATAAATGTTGTTCAGTAATTCATACAGTACAGTATTGTATCATCTCACCTGTACGAGCCCCAATAAGGGAGAAAATCTCCCGGAGTGATTAAAAATAATGCTGACAAAATCAAATTAAGGATTTCAGAGTGAATGTTGAATCAAAAGCCAGAAAGTGTTTTATAACAAACCAACTGGATATAGAACGTTGGGGCAGCTGAGTGGGGTATTATCCGAGGATCGTGATCCTAATCCATATGAACCAAGGACAAGGGATGTAACACCAAGTTGGAGAAACGCTCAAAGAAGATTCACATCCACAATGAACAAAACGTGCGTACGTAATCTCTCCTATCGTATGGAATTCACACAATTGTTTGCAAGTCTGCACTTCATGAACTTCCGATGCATGTCGGTTGCATGAATGAGGTCAGTTGTGCAAAAAATACTTCATCGTAAAAGTATCGCAAACATGCTAATACCTAATTCTTACAATTTGTACGATTTTCATCGGTTCAGCAAAACAGCGGAACTGTTTTGTAAACAAAACAGCTATTTTTTTTAGAAAAAATGGTCAGATTATTAAGATTGTATGAACCCTTAGGTGTGCCTGATGCAGAAACAATGTAATCAGCTGCCCTTCGATTGATTTGGGAAAATTGTATCATGTTTAAATCAGCTGAATAGGAATGACAGCAACACAGCGAGATTTGGCAAACTGTATTATCTCTTTTATTGTCAATTACATTTGTGAACCGGAAAAGCAGTGTCATTTCACAGAAAGCTATTAACCACTTCCAATTGGCTGGTCTACGCAAGTGTTTGTTATTATGTAAGGAGGTGGACGATTCCGCCACCCGGCATTAAATGTGATCACCTATAGGCATTTGTGGTGAGTCAGCTCTGGAAGATAACGTCAGCCAAGCACCCACGCATTCCAGTTCCCGGACATTTGGCTACGGACCAACAGTATCAATCATTCCACAGTCATACATTTGAAACAGAAGCCGTATAACTGAGAAAACGAGAATGGCGATTGATTGGTATTCGCTTGACCAATGAAATTTCTATTTACATCTTATTTAATCCCATTTCTTTCTTTCAATAAGTGAATCGCTACTACTGCTGCGTTTTCCTACGTTTCGGTGACCGGAGATTCCAATAACTGATGCGATTCTGTGCTTCAATTGCGACCGTGATTCATGATCCGTAATTCGTACCTACTTTGATTTCCACAGCACTGTTGCAGTAAAGGTGGCAACCTCCAAATCACTCGACGAATCTATACCAAAAAGAGGGCTTAAAATGGACCATCGGTTCCAGGTAGGTAAAACCAGTAGTAGAGGAAACTGACCACTGGGCACAAGTTCAATGACGTTACAAAGTAATCACTTCACACCAAGCACCACAATAAAGAGACGCATCGTCAGGCTGAAACTCTGGTCGCCAACTGATGCGTGGAGTTCATTGTTTTTACGTCATTTTTGTTCCAACTGAGGACAAATGCACATCATGCAACACTTCAAACCATGCCGATGCAACCGAAACGCTCACCAGATTACACCAAGAAGCATCCGGACAGAAGCGGAACAGACATTGGATTCGAAGGACACGTTCCTCATAGGACTTCAGCCGATCGTTTGGCAAAGGCATCATCTCGGCCCGAGTGAATCTTGTACGAATTAAACGAGTTACTGGAAAATCTCGTGAAACCAGATTCGCGTTGACCGGTATGCCCGCAGTGTCCACCGGAAGTGGACGGTATGACGAATCGCTGAGATTCCAAGCGTTAGTTCTATCCAGATTAGAATTGGGCATGCGATCCAAATTGGGGCATCTTTCGAAGAAAGAAAAATAAATGAGTCAGTTGTGTTCGCTAAGCAACACATCACAGTTTGGATACATGCTTCGGAGCGCAGTCCCAAATCCATGCCCCTCCACGTTCCAGCCTTCATCTCCTCCTCTCCTTCCCACCCTAATTCACACGAACCAAGCGTAAGGTTCGATGTCAGGATCAGCCATATCCGGTTTTGTGAAATTGAGACAGAAAACAACAACAATAAACAATCCCCATTTAAATGATCAATAATTTAGTTTCCCCTTTTCTATACAACATGAGATGATATAAAATGTGACGTATTAGCCAGTTGATGAGTTACCGGAAAAAAACTTGTTCGCTAAACCGCATTTTTCATTATTTTGAATTTAGCTGTACAGCTTAATTGGTGAACGAAACCGCGTTCTGTCTTTCTTTATGACTTTTGTCCATCTGTATTGCAGGTAACAATAAGTGTTTCCCACTGTCTAAAAGCACAAGATTACCTCTGAGTCCGGGGTGCAATAAAATCAGGACATTTGCAGAATGTTGCGACTACACAACCGCAGTTTCCCTTTGAACAATTTCTCGACAAAAAGGCAAATGTTCGCTGATGGATACACCTCCAATGATGAGACTATAGGTCAGTGTTCCTTCCAAGTTGTTAGCATATTTGATCTGAGAGAGTGCGCAGCGTTCCAGCTTAATGTTATCTGTTGTGGAAGATGAAAGCAAGGATTTCTAGCGTTTTGAGCACCGCATACTTGTCTACTCGCTCGTGGTAACGGATACATGCGAAGAACGCCTCCCAGGCCTGCTGCCCACCATGCCTCGCCCCATCCTTTTCTGTAACCGTAACAAACTGACGCACGTACGATCGAGCTTGTCGCGAATTGGGTTCCCAAAACGTTTGCAGAACGAATGAAGGCTGCTCACCTCACCCACTGCGAAAGGGAAAACAAAACCAGTTCAATTGGGAGAGCGTAGTTTCTCCAAAAGACCGTGGTGCTTAATGGCCGTCTGGGGAATGAACGTGTTCCGCTATGAGGCAAGAAACATTTCATCCCAATTTTGAGTCACATAAAATAGGGCGTTTACTTAAAACCGATTCCGGAAAAAATCGGGGGAGGAATATCACATGAATAGGTGAATGTATCTAACCAATTATATCATGTCATTCATGTCATCTATTGTCGCACTGGACTTCTGTTTTCCTTTCATGCTTAGTTCCGGTGATGCGAACGCGTCATCACATCACTTCTGACCAAAGATTATTATACTAGATTTAATTAGGCATTGATACAGTTATCGGAAATGCACCCGATTCATGTTATAACATTATGAGGTGATTGTGGCGATAAGTGTTACTCCTCCGTCCGTCCATCCATCCATCCACCCGCCTTCGTCAAAGAACACGAATTGAGTGCATTTTGACAATTTTCTTCCTCAATTTGGTCACGAAATAAATTTGTTTTGGCATTGTTGTTATTTTCCTCAATTCTTGGGCGAGATTCGATCTAAGCTCCAAATTGCCATTGAACGCAGTCCTCGCTTTTCCTGTGAGTGGCGCGCTAATTCAAAGCCGCCGTTTATCGCGCTGATGCAAGACGTGCCCATTTTTTTTCTTTCTCACTGTTTCTCTCTCCAGGTTTCAACAAAAAGTTTCGTCTTTTATGCGCATTGGTGATCAGAACTCACACCTCTACCCGAGGTGAGTATAAAAACGTCGGTGCCAGAATACTACTTCAAATAGTGTGATTGCTGGAGCTATACTTCGAAAACATCACAGACATTTGGAGCTGTTTCGGTCTTAGGTTTGAGGTTTCACCACTAGCTCATTTTCGGGTAATTAAGTATTCGTAAGAATCTGGTTTGACTCCGGAAAGGAAAGCCAGAGAGACTATTTGCGGAAGTGTGGTGATCCTGGCCTACGAGATGACGCATACCACGGAGCGACACACGTTACAGTTTTCGGACAACTGTGATCAATCAAGCCTCATGGGTTACGTCAGCAAAGGGTGGACCACATACCATAGATCGACTCTATCAGCCAATCAAGAACCGTGAGGGCCAGACAGAAGCAGAACAACGTCAGGAATACTAGAACCCGATTGGTAGACACCTTGATGACCAATGAGTTTGTTTTGTACATATTATTTGAACCCCATGATTTATTTCAATAAAAGTGCTATTCCTGTGGCCTTTTCCTCGCGTCTCGGTTATGTGAGATATTGCGTTCAAGTACCAGTGTGGTTCGTGTTCATTGCGTACTACTATTACTACAATTACTACAGGAGGATTTGAAAACCGGGAGTCACTGTTGGAGCGATGATATTATTGATTATTCAGGTCAGTAATTTCTCATCCCTTCCTGAACACGTGGAGTCAAATTCAAAGGGCGACGTAAACAGTTTTATCAATAGTTGATAGCAATCAGATTTTAATATTTATCAAAATGTAAAGCAGTTTTGAGGTTCCAAAGCCTCATGGTGAAACAAATCTGGTTTTCAAGATTGTACGGGAAGTTTGTGTTCACACTGGGTTTGAATTACCAACTTCTACGAAACTCATTCAAGTCGTGGAGGAAAGACATTATGCTTCAGTTCAATATTTTGATTAAGTAAAATGTTTTCTTTGAATCAGATTTGACCATCGTGGAATGCTTTCAACTATATATGCTGGTGAGTATCGCTATCACATACATGAAGTATGAGGAACCTACTCAACAACCAATATATCCGCATCTTGCTCTTGGTATATCAGAGGCTAATTTAAGTTTTCATCATCATCATCATCACTACCACCACCACCACCACCAACAATAACAATAATAACTTCTATATTCTTGACAGATGGGTGGATGGAATCGCAAAATGGGGAAATCACCTTGGACACCGGTTTATACGGATGCAATATTTATTCGTGCAAGCAGCAAAAACGTTGCTAACAGACCGTATAGAGAAGGGTTCATACTTACATCCAAAATAGGAAATCCGTTCGACTTTTTGAACAACCGTCAACGATTTCTTCACTGAAACATTCCTCAAAGTTGAAATAACCATGAGTATCTGTGAAAAAAACAGCAACAGCAAAAACACCGAAAACCGGTGGGTACAATTTGTCATTGTGTATTCCAAGCGCTGTTTTCCAAATCGTCATACTTCTTGGTTAGTTAGAACTGAATTTGGTCTTTGGTGTGGTTGATGGAGTAGGAGGAATGAGGTTTCAACCTCTCAAAGGCATCTTTGACTGAGGCATGAACCAATAGATAGCACAACAGAGACTACAGGTCGCATTTTGGTTGAAAACTATATTTGCAGATATATTTGTCAAACGATTTGGAATAGAAGTACCTAAATGAAGGGTTTCCTCGTGCACACCTAGGTGTATCAGCAGTGCGAATATAATGCACTGAATCTGTAATTATCACCGGAGCCCCGATTTCGATTTTCAAACCGAAAGCTCGCGATTTGAGTACTCCGAAGGACTGAAAATGCATGCACAGTTTGTGAAAAAGATGGAACATCTAACCTGTACCCTTGATCGATTGTCGTACAAAAGCACATCTTTCGAAGATGAATATTCGTGCTACAACAGGATACCGCCCTACTAACCTAACAACATTTGCTATATAAGCATTTTAAAAGACTAAAACAAGGGGTCTGCACATCTAGTGTGGTCTCCGTTTTCCTTCACATAATTGGTCAAACACACTACCACACAACAGTAAAGCGCAAAATATTATCCCAACACGTATGCCTCGCCGTTCAGAGGCCAGCAGTTTAGCAGTTTAGCGCAACTGAGTCTAGTCATGGATAACGTCATCTAAATCGTTTTCAGCCCATAGTATAATATTGTTTTTGAGTATTTTTTGAGACATAAATATGTATAGTTTTGTTTTACTCGATTTCATTAGATAGATTTTTATCCGTGTTATTTGTTGTCCCGGTTAAGTAGGTAAATAGGCACACACTAAATTAGACAGTACGTTTATTGCGTTAGGCACACATATAACCGGTCTGTAGTCCGGTGAAAAAACAGTGCGTCACCACACAGGAAGGCAGGTCGGCAGGCGATCAACTAACCCCAGCGTCACACAATATCGGTATGCGTTCAAGCAGGTATTCAAATAGTCGACGAATCAATCAGCGCGGACAGTCGAATACTAACACCTGATTGGCTGGAGCCAACCGATGCTGTACTAGAGTCAGTCCACATGACGTGAGCGCGTGCTTGTGTGCTAGCTGACAGTATCTGTTAGTCAGTCAATCGATCAATCAATCAATCCGACCACAGTCATGCATGATAGACGTGCCAGTCCACTGTAGACCAACAAACTTTGATGGACCAGTGGATCATTCAAATTCAAATTTCGAAAGTATCATCAGGTAGGTTGCGGAGTGTTGTACTTTCATTAAACTGGTCATTAGCTTAACTGAAGCCTATTTGCACATGAAGCAGAATAACCATCTATTACGGGAGACGTTCCCTTAACAACCCCTCTATTGTTTTAACACACATACCATATTGATACAGACCTGTGTTTTGAGCATTTTTAATTGTCACTCTGTTGACGAGTAAACACGATGTTCTTTTTCGGCAATTACAAAACTGTTGTCTAACATTCTCGTTATACAAATGTGTGGTTTTTGCACCAGATGCCACTAACTAACTGCACTAGTTCATTAGTCCATTCTCGCTTTAGGACAGAACGGAGAAAAAACAACTATTCATTAAATTGAAACATTGATTTTATGGGCCGAAATCCTCCCTATGTTCTGTAACGAACGCAGTGTGTGTGTATGATTGAACATCTTTTTTTCAATTTTCAGAAAGAATAAAATAAGCCGTATTGATGGAATGCTCCATATGTTGAGTTTGATCGATAACGTGCTCCACTAAGAGTGG